AAGAACATTTGAAAGTGATTGAGCAGCTAGCAGGTGGCTCTCGCCCATCTGCCTTCACCCTCCCAGCAGTCTCTACACAGACCAAAACCGTGGCTGGCTACGTCCATGCATCTTTTGCAGACAAGACGTTGACGATTTCGCACTGCAAGGTGGGCAGGCCTCATCAAGGAAGAGGAGTAGGCGGTCTGCTGCTCGAAGCTGCCGAGAAGCGCGCTCGGAATCTGGGTGCTTCTATCTCGCAAGTGAAGTTGTCTGTGTTGGAGACAAGCGAACCCGCCCGAAAGTGCTATGCCGAGTCGGGCTTCAAGGTTTATGCCGAATCTTCATCCAGCTTTCCACCGTGCAATTGTCGTAAGAATGACATTTGCCGCCATGATAAACTCAGGTGGCTGATGATGGAGAAAATCATCGCCGCTTCGCCTGACAGCGTGGGCGAATCCTGAAAAACATGCTGCTTTACGGACATGGCCAGGGGCGGTCCGGGTTGAGGGCGAGGCGTTTTGGGGATTCAAGTGTGAGGGTTCAGGGTTCGGGCTTCCGGCTTTATTACGTTCTACACAACTTTGCCGGGCTTCGAGAGGCGTCGGGTGTCAATTGTGATAAGTTGTCGCCAGGCTTCCGACATTGACACTTCTGACGAGAATGATGAAGAATAAGACGATGATTATGATCACCACGATGATTCCATTTTCAATGGGGTTGACGATGATTAGAGTCGCTGCCACTGCCGCTGACGATGACGGCAATGCTGGTGGAGGAAGCTTCATGTTGTTGGTGAGACTTTATGCTTAGAAGGTGGTACGCTCCGAGCCAGGCAGCACTCAGTTCATGCACCGTCCACAACACGATGGCATGGGCCGGGAGCTCAACCGCAACGGCGGAGCTTTGATATCTTCTCGGGCAATCCACCGTGCTGCGCCGAGGTCAACAACAACAAACGCAATGCCCGTACTTTGGCAGCAATCGGAAGAGATACTTCACATACCATGCAATTCTCGCAATCTGTCAATTCTATCGTGGCTCGATGTGAGCGGATCGCCTGCAGGACATGATGACGTGCAAGACAGTTGCACCAGTAAATAGATCGTGTGCTTCGTTGCTACCGGGAACCCAGAGGAACGGTCAGATAGCTCGTATTCTTGAGTGGTGACACATAGTTGTAAGCCTGTCTTTTGAGCTTCAGCCCTGGTAGTGTGGGATATCAGAAGGATGTCGGCTATCAGCAAGGAGGGGAACCTGGGAATGATCTTCTCCCGATTACGGGAGAGTTGGAGATTGCAGCACGTCACATGAGTCTGTGAACAGAGGGCTCAGTTATGGCCAGAATTCACTGCTTTCTGGAGAGATGCAACCAAACTGCTCGCAACCTACAGCTGTCAGGTTTCAATCCAAATCGCCGAGACGATCGGTTGCTGGATGCAGAGGTGACCGCGCGGCGGCATCCACGGCCGTTCTGAGCCTGAGCTGTTTGCATGGGTGTGCTCGCGTCGCACTCGGTGCACGAGCGGCAGTGAGGCAGAAACCCGCGGAAGATGATGATTCTGACAGTGAGGAGCTCATCAACACTGAGCCAGAGCCTGGCTCTCAAATGGCACGTCGTGCTCAGTTCTTGCAGTCTTGTGGTGCCGAAAGGGGCCGGGCATTCAGGTTCGTCCTCAGCATGGAGAGCGACTCCCGCGTGGACTGGCGAGATCCTGAGACTGTCCCATTCACATGGCAGAGAGAGGCAGGGCACTGACATCCGAGGCTACAGATGGCTCTCTTGCAAGCGGCCGAAGGAAAGCTGAAGGTCAGGTTTGTGTTTATAGTTGTGCTTCAGGAATGTCGTCTGGCTGGTGATGTTGAGCTTGGATGATAAAGTTCGTCATGTCTCTGCGACGGGTATCGATCTGGCAGTGTTCGACTATCCGGGGCTCTAAATCCCGTGCTTTTGGTCGTTTTCTGCGACAACCACCACTTATCAGGCCATGGCTTAGAAGTTCTTTGTGAAATTCCAAGCCACAGCAGAGAGGCTGATGCTTCCTGAACCCTGCGAGCATGTGCGAGCAAGTGTGCCGACTACCTTTGTGTCCCTAGTTGGGGGGTCGGGTACGTCGCGGAGTGATCTTAAGAGTGGTCTTCTTCGACGATCTTCGCAAAATCTGTGAGCGACCCTGCACTTTGGGGTCCATGCTTCGGGATTTCCTCGCTGTTCGACCTGTCGGGCATGCCAGGCAGAAATTCTACGTCTCGAGAAGAGCGTAGCCGCATAGCCTGCTACGGTCGTGCCGTCCGAACAGGCTGCTGCGCTTTACGAGGTGCAGAGCTTACTCTCCCTTGTGTCTTCGTGATCGTTCTGCAGCCTCTCTACAAATCCGTCGCGCAGCGATTCCCAAGGTCATGAAACATAAGACTTTTGTGCCCAGCGAGCTCGCTCACCGGAGTAAGCTGAAGGTACCTGGACTGCAAAGAGTAGACGCAGTCGTCCCATGACACTCAGGCGAAACCATTCCCACAAGCGAAACTTGCCCGAGCATGAAAGGCCATGTTGACTGCCAACCTGCACCTCTTCAGTGCCAAGCACAAAAAGGCTCCAGTACATGACGTAGCAGTTTCGCGGCCTGTGAAAAGGGCCTTTTCTGTTGTTGACCGTGGCAAGGTCCTGGAAGAAGCCGCGAACAGCTGGGGCTCTGAGGGTGCCTCACGGGAGGGGAGGAAAGTGCCTTCACTCTCAAATCCGCTCAGTGCAGGCTCAAAGGGCAACAAGGCACGACGCGCCGGCCTTTGGGAAGTCTCGGATCCAACAGCTCAAGTTTCAGTGGAGCGCGACGACCTTTCTCACCCAGGTGCAAGCAGCAGCGATAGCAGCAGCAGCAGCTCCAGTCGAAAAGTGAGCAAAAAAGAGGCAATGACGGGTTTCTAGATTGAGCCAGGGTCTCGCATCTGGCATCTTCCGGATATTGCATTCATGTCCACAGGCGAAGGAAGTGGCAAAATCGAACGCAGGCCCAACGGGCTGACCTGCAAATTGTGGCAGCTGGGAGCACTCCGCGCTGAAGTCTATGTTAGTGACCCATAGTGAGTGGAGGATCAGGCAAGCTTGCAGCATGCCGAGTCCTGTCCAACGCATGGTGAGAGATAGCCTCTGTCTCTGTGAGATTCTGATCGACGGCGCAGTCGGAGCACTCGCAAGAAGCGTGTGAACCTGAGTCAACTCTTTCACACTCCTTCGGGCGGTCTTTGCGAGTTTTATTCGTGGCTATCACGAGGATCAAGCAGCGACAGCAGCAAGCCGCGGAAGAACAACAAAGAGGTTGAAGCCTTCACTTTCAATCGGCTGCTAATCCGTGTCTGTGCATGTATCTGGACAAAGGCGAAGGACAAAGGCAAAGATAAGGACAAAAGCAAGGGCAAGGTCAAGGACAAGAAGGAAAGTAAAGACAAGAAGGAGAGCAAGGATAAGAAGGAGAGTAAAGACAAGAAGGAGGACAAGAACAAGGACAAAGCCAAGGAAAAAAAGCGGCACAGCTCCAGTGTTGACCTCAAGAGATGTGGCAAGTAGAAGCCTTGCATCACATCCTTGCTGCAAACATGTTCTGCACGACTTGTCGTCCGAGGTACGTCATCTTCGAGGAAGAAGCTGCATGCTCAGACTTGCAAAGCTGGGATTTGCAGATACCTTCTCAATTGAGGAACCCCTTCTTTTGTCTTGCTGTAATGGCTTTCCGTTGCTGCTATGGCGTTCACAGGGCATCCAGTTGCAAGAGCAACGCATCCCGCCCCCTCCCCTGCAAACGACAGCATATTAAAACAAACCCACAGCAGCCACAATGCGCCAGAGTGCACGGTGTTTGCGGAGCTCCCTTTCGGGAAATGCCACAGAGATGAGCATTCAAGGGTGCCTCGGATGCACCGGCAGCTACAGCACACTCCCCTCCACAACAGATAGAGAAATGCAACCCCCGGCGTGACAATCAGTAGAAAGACCCTTCGAGCCATGACAGCAAACATGCCCATCGCACTCCTTCCGTGACCGCACTCAGCCTCAGCATGATTCATGGTTCGATTTTGAGAAGTCTTGACATAAAGTCCACGAATTATTGACCCAGCCCATCCTCGTCAGTTCCAGCATGTGTCTCTGGTCCATATGCCGCAGACCACTGCGTTGCCAGAGATCTTGCAAAAAGGGCATGGAAAGCTCACCAACGTCTGTCGTTCACCCAGGAATGAGTCAGCTCTTGTCTGACCGGATGGTTTCTCGCTGCCAGTAGTCTCATGCTCCTTGTACTCTATTGGAAATTCTATGCAAGAATGAAGGCAACCCATCATGAGAACCGATGGCATTGTTGGAACAGCCAAAAGCCAGAGCACAGCTTTTCACCAAGGCGCGCAAGATCGCGATCCAAGAGTCGACGTGCTACCGGCTCGTTCGACAATCTGGTTTGTAGTTCCCAGCAGCATGCTCTGGTACAGATCAATTCGATGGCCAGGAAAACGCTAGCCGAGATGCACCACGCCCCACGCGCGTGGCCCTGGGGACCCTTGATGCTGTGAACCTCTGATTTGCCCTGCGCGCACTTCGTTTCGATGGTCGCTGGTCTGGACTGGTCTGCAGCACTGCAGAGCCGCGCACGGCGGCGACGATATGTGGGTGACGACACGGCGGGCAGCAAATTGAGCTCTCGCTGGTGTCGTGTGCTGCCACTAAGAGCCGAAGGCAAAGTCAAAGGGCGGCATCTAGCACACAGACTCACGGCGGTACCAGCCTGTCATGCACCAACTCGGCCAGCATGAAGCTTTAGCCGCTTGAGCTTTGGCTTCGCAGTTTTCAACCAGAGAGCGAAAAAGGGAAGCCCGTGATGAATCATTGCCAGCTCGCACGCACAGCTCGTGTGCTTCTTGATCCTGTGCAGGTTACGGAGCATGCGACGACTTCAAAGCGTTTGGCACGAAAGGTGCCTGTCGGGAAGATCATTTGCTTCCCACTCTGGCTATGTCTTGCTTTCCGGGAAGCTTCGGGAAGGTGAATTTCGTCCGGGCGCCGGAGGGAGGAGAAGGCATCCAGTGCCGGTCTCGTTCTTGCAGTCAAAGATTCAGGAGCATGATCAACAGGAAAACCCTTGGTTGTGGGCGTCGTAAACATCGTCATGCAGGCCAGCTAGCAGATGTGCTTGTTTTTGGAGCAGGAAATCATGGCTTTGCATTGGCCGCAGTAGCAGGTTAAAGCCTTGAGCTCTGCACCAGCGCCAGTGGCGGCAACCGGGTCTGACGCTGAGCAGTCTGTACAAAGTGCAGCGTTCGGGTTCAGCTCGGGCCTCTCCGAAGCCACTTTAAATTACAGCCGAAAGCCTCGAGCCAGTTCTTCTTTACGTGCACTCCGAGTCTTTGTTGAACAGAGAAAGTTTGAGTAAGCTGCAGCAGCTCCTTTGTGGCTGGATTCAATCGCCGTCGTGCTCGCTACTGATTCAGAAAAGATCCTCCATAGGGGCTTAGACATGTGAGGCTTCTGCGAGTCGTGGCAAGTAGACGGGCATCGGTGCCTCCAGAAATGGACGACCCCGGCACTTGGTGCCGCAATGGCAATGACGATCCGCGGCTTTTGGGTCGCAGATGCGTCGGCGGACGGAAGCAAATGGAGGAGAAGTTGCGCTTGGAGGAGCCGCGGCTCCAGTCTGCTAGGGGGGAGCAGCCTTGGAAGGCCATCGGCCTAACCCGACCCCATGCCTTGTCCATGTTTTTATCTTAGTTTCAGCCAGGAGCTGCAGGACCAGGGCCGGAAAGCTGCAAAGCAGAAGGCCGACTGACAAGAGATCTGTGCTGTAGGATGGTTCAGTTTCCAGATGTTTCTAGTGCGAAGCGCTGTTTGGACTGCAGCATATGTTTCTTGGCAGGTCGCAGAGACAGTGCTGTGCGCCGGCTGGGCGAGAATCCTGCCGGATGTCAAACTCCGCTCTTCCAAAGCCAGGGACTCCGAAATTCTTGGACACGTGAAAGGCGGCAGCCACGTCTTGATCGCGCAAGTTGTCCGCAAGCATGCGCGCATCCAGCCCCTTTATGGGCTGGGTGGTGCTGAAGAAAGGTGGCAGTCCCGTCCTTCTGCAGGACTTCCATCAGCAGCAGCGGGGCGAGCAAGCGGCCGCAGACTGGGTCGCGGAGCAAATCATGAGCAGGCTCGGGAGTTAGGCTGCGCCGTCGACGATGATGCAAAGCATGCCGTCTGGGTGCGCTAGCACAGAAGAGGTACCTCGTTCTGACACCACGCAACCAACATTTCCACAAGTTTCAATCGGACTTGCTGCGCCAGCCGCCGACGCAGCAGCTCCGGAAGAGCTCACAGCCAAGACGGAAAGTGAGAATCTACAGCCGGACTCGCCAAACTGTGAAGAGCAAAGCGAGTTCAGTGGCACCGATGGCATCTACGCGGGCCTGGGGTTGGGAAGCATCATTGCGTTTTTTCCGTGGAAGTCACTATCAACACTGCATCCTGCCCAGGCGATGCCGTCGCAGGGCCTACAGGGCCCAGCTGCTACGGCTGGGTTTCTTTGCCGGCCAAAGGCGCCTGAGGTCTGCTCCGCTTCTGCCACCTTCCAAGAAGATCTTCCTCTTTCTCTCCCGCTACATCCTTACACGGGTGTCGGCCTGGACTTCATGGTGCACCCACTCCAGGGCATGCCAGCACTGCGTGTGCTCCTTCAGCAGCCCCATGCTTTGCGCTCATCGTCTGGAGACTGTCGAAGTCTGCCAGCTAGTGCCTGGGAGGCTTTGCATTCAAAATTCGACGCGTCACCTCCCAGCAAGTCTCCCCAACTTTCTCCGCGCAGCCGCTCGATGCCATCACCCACAGCCGCTCCGAGCGACCGCTGGGCGGTCTGGCGCCAGGAGATCCGAGAAGGGATCTGCTGCAAGCGCCGCCGGCGATAGATGTACGTAGAATGTCAATAGCCACCTGAATAGCCACCTGTCCAGGAGAAGACCGTGCCTGAAGACAGCGTGGGTCCTCGCTGAGACGTGCGATACGCTTCGTTGCATCTTTGTGAAATCAGGTCTGCACGGGACATTTGGGAGGGAGAGGCCACGAAAACTTGACGGACCTTTCGGGTCTTGGTTGAATTGAGTGCCCTGGCGTTGCTCCCCGGTAGCTCTTGGCTGAAACAGGTCCGAGGCTGAGCCACCTTTGAATGCATCATGTCCCAAACTTCTTTGTTGCGCCGGCTTCGGACTGAAGCCGGCGAGTATCTGCATCCAGTCACAGCCTTTGGTTTAGGATCTGAGCTTTGACACCGCAGCTCCGGAAGTGCTCACAGCCAAAACGCAAAGTCAGACCTTTGAGTCGGACTTGCTGGCTGCAGATTTGGCAGTGGAGGAAGTGCACAGGCTCGTGGGATTTGCGTATCTACGACGATGGTGCAGAGCGGCCCGTCTGGCTGCTAGCGCACTCAAACGGCATGCTTTGCGCCAGCCGCCGACGCAGCAGCTCCGGAAGAGCTCACAGCCAAGACGGAAAGTGAGAATTTACAGCCGGACTCGCCAAACTGTGAAAAGCAAAGCGAGTTCAGTGGCACCGATGGCATCTACGCGGGCCTGGGGTTGGGAAGCATCATTGCGTTTTTCCCGTGGAAGTCACTATCAACACTGCATCCTGCCCAGGCGATGCCGTCGCAGGGCCTACAGGGCCCAGCTGCTACGGCTGGGTTTCCTTGCCGGCCAAAGGCGCCTGAGGTCTGCTCCGCTTTTGCCACCTTCCAAGAAGATCTTCCTCTTTCTCTCCCGCTACATCCTTACACGGGTGTCGGCCTGGACTTCATGGTGCACCCACTCCAGGGCATGCTAGCATTGCGTGTGCTCCTTGAGCAGCCCCATGCTTTGCGCTCATCGTCTGAAGACTGTCGAAGTCTGCCAGCTATTGTAGTGCTTGGGAGGCTTTGCATTCAAAATTCGACGCGTCGCCTCCCAGCAAGTCTCCCCAACTTTCTCCCGCTCGATGCCATCATCGCCCACAGCCGCTCCGAGCGACCGCTGGGCGGTCTGGCGCCAGGAGATCCGAGAAGGGATCTGCTGCAAGCGCCGCCGGCGATAGATGTACATAGAATTTGAATAGCCACCTGAATAGCCACCTATGCCTGGGCAGCGCAAGCAGATGGGACTGTGCAAGTTTAGAACCGTGGCCATTGAAGAAGCAAACTTGTACGATCACTAGCTTCGCAATTGCATGAGGCTCGACGCGGCACATACCGTCGCCTCAGCTGTGGCACCTTCTTTGGACAAGTCCCTCTGGCAGACGAGGCTATGTCGAAAAAATAGCTTTGTCATGTTACGGTGTCGCTTTGTGCAGGCCGTTCGAAAGTCGGCTCCACATCCTGGTGCACCGAGCCGATGCGCTTCCAGCCGATGTCCTAGAAACTTCTCCCGTGTCTTGTTCGACACTCCGGCAGTGGCGGCGCAGGTGCCAGATGCGAGCGCGAAAGCTGTGGTGCGGGTGGCTGCAAGGCTTGACGATGCCGGCACTGCCACTGCATTCCGCATATGCCTGGTTCATGAGAGCACGGCCGCAACGAGGCTCCTTCAGCCCGGCGGCCATGTGCTGCAAGAGTTGGCTCCTCTCTCAAAAATCGATTGCAATCGAACAGAGCTGCAGAGAAGAATCCTCAGCCTTTGACAAAGGCCTCCCGGAACCTTCCGGTGGAGCCAGCGACGGCGCACGCGGGTGAGGCACCACTGGAAGAGCAAGATGCTAGAGAGAACTCGATCGGGATTGAGATTGAGTTTGTGGGGAGGGTCCGGCAAAGTATTCTGCATCTGGCTGCAGGTTTGGTTCAACCAGGAGATCGTGATGTCGATGTCAGCATCGATGCTAGAAACATCTGGGCACCACTGGCATCAGAGTTGCACAGCGCTTGGATCTGTGCCGTTGGCCAATGCGGCCAGGTTGCAGGTTGGACTCGCCTTGGAGATGGTGCCGGGCTTGGAGGGAGCGAAGTGGCAAAGGCTCCGCGGTTTGCGAAGTCGCGTGCTCTTCCCGGACCTGCAGGTGTCTTCAACACCAGACGGTGCTGTGACGGACTCCCTGCATCTTCCTGAGCCTTGACCCCTACTATGTCGAGCAAATCCTGTCTTGCTGCCCTGCAGGCTGAACCTCCAATGGCAGGGATCCAAAGTGATGGGGTGACCACGCGTGCAGCGGGATTTGCCGGAGGTCGCCATCCTCCCTGCCCTTTCTGAATCCTATCCACCTCCATGCCAGGCCGGGATTCGGCCGATGATCTGAGGGACTCCATAGAGTTTACCGTCGGGATGTTTAGGGTTTTTAAAGTTTAGCGTCGTCTGCCTGCTGTTTTGCAAGGTCCTCTACCGCCTCCAGCGCCTCGAGACCTCGACCTGGGCTGCTGGCTGGGGAGCCGAGATGAGAGGACGAGGGTGCCGAGAGGTCATCGGACACCGAAGCCCAGTCTGACAGTCTGAAACCGTTTTCATTGGGGCAGGTGGAAGATGTGGGAGGTGAGTCGGGTCGGTTAAGGACAGGTGACTAGCGGTTCTTTCGCGTCGATTCGCCAGACTCGGCTCCAACTCAGGAGATCGCAAAGGAGCGACCTTTTTTGCTGTGCAAGAGGATCCGTTTTCGGGAGGTGGTACAGTCTAGGTCCTGCAGGCATGATTTGACCAAGAACGGAAGGATGCTCGAAACCAAAACACATGCTCTTTAAGAACATGGTGGCCTTGTCGCGCAGGCCAAACTGCAAGGCTGAACTCAAGTGCCACACTGTGTCATTGCATTATGGATGTTGTTGGTGAGCAGAATGCAGGGAGGGCTCCAGATGCAAATTTGTGTTTTAGTTCTGCGGACTAGTGACTAGCCTGCCTAATTAGCCGCTAGCAGAGGAGGAACAAAAAGAAGGTGCAGCAAGGTCTGTAGCTGCGGGCGAACTGGCAGCGGCACCGTCAATGTCTGCAATTTTTCGGCAAAGGTTAAAAGGTGCCCGCGAAGGCTTGTCGGAGTCCACTGTCCTCTGCACAGGGTCGGATTGAGTCATCATCTTATGCTGTCCAAGCTCACATGATCTCGACACAACTAACGGCCGCTGAGAGGAGAATCCAAAAAACACAGTCCTTCCAAACTGATGCTTTCATTGGTGCAGAGGCATTGTTGATTTCTTAGTTTGAGAGAATGTCCCAGCCGACAAAAAAAAGGCCCTCAGGACTTGCTACACTGACGTACTGGCTTCTCCTTATATTGAACAGTAGTAGTCTGTAGTTTAGCTTAGAGCGGACAGCATGCAGAAGATGTGTAAAGCGACGGGCAAGCCTGTAAAGTGAGGCCTCTGAATCTTATAGCCCTTAACGGTAGACCCTAAACCCTGCCCTTATCCACCCTAGAAGGCTTCGGTTTGTCGGCCTGGCTGGGTTAGGGTTTATTTAGGGCTTAGGGCGTCGGGTTCGGCATGTGCACTACGAGTAGCTTCCTTTCCTTTGCCAGCGCTTTTGAATGTAGGCTTGTTTGCTCTAGTTTGCTGTGACTATAGCGGGTCTGTCCCGGGTTCTGGTGTGCTGTTGTTTGCGATTTGTATTGTGGTCGGACTCCTGTGTCCTAGTTTCTGCTTTGCGGTTGCTTGTTATGTCTACTGCAGACGGACTCCTATGTCCTGGGTTCTGGTTTCCTTTTTTCGCAATGTGTATTGCGGTCGAACTCCTGTGTCCTGGGTTCTGGTTCGGTGTTGTTTGCTATGTCTGTTATATCCCAGGTCTCTATGATGCGGGAGCCGGGCCATGAGGATGGGCCTGTCTTTTGCAGCGCAGGTTTCGATGAGAAGCGAAGCTGCCGGCAGGCCTTGGATGGACTGGGAGGTGGTGTATCCCATGGCTTGGAGATCAGGGTGCTCAACTCGGTATCCGAGGAGCTCCGGCTGGGCCCGCACATGCCCGCATCGTCGAGCGTCGTCGAGTGGCGTCGAGTGTTTGAGGTGCACGGAGTGCCTCACGGGCGGCCTCTTCCTGATCTGGTCGAAGGTGCGCTTGTGGCAGTCTGCCCAGAGCCGGTTCCTCGGAGTCGAGAGCGAAGTTCAAAAGAGCGCGGTGGCCTCGCCTTCCTTTCTGCATCCCTTCCTCGAGGTCGTCTGTTGGCACAGACACCCGCGACTTGCACATACCTGTGGCAACTTACCTCTACGACCAGCGAATCGCTCTTTGCTTGCATCGTGGTTTTTACGACTCAGGGTGGGGAGATCAGGGACTGACCTGCAAGATGGGCAGAGTCAGTAAGCTTCGTACCGAAACGCGGAGGAAACACAGCTCCCCACACAGCTTTCTGCTTTCTGCCATAAGGAGCTCTCTGCTTTCCTCGATGAGCACTTCGTCACTGCGGCCTCGAAGCTGCGCTGCTTCCCCTCGCCCTTGTCAGGCACACACCGTCAAAGTCTTTCTTCATGTCTCAAGACTTACGGGTCTGATGCATGGGCACAGAATGTGTTGCGCTTTTTTATGGGGCATGGCAGGGTCGCTGCAGACTCAGCTTTGCTCACGCGTGCCTAGTTCCAGCCTGTTCGGCAAGAGCAAATGAGCATGTGTGAGATCTTGAGTTCGCCTGGCGCCCTGTCAGGTGCATCCCGAACTCCTCAGTGGGGGTCATGCCGCCTACGTTGTGGAACATTCATGACTCGGCAGTCTGCCAAACAGCAGACAGACCCACCTAAGAGCAAATTGCATTGCAAAGCTGCGAACTTCAGCAGGGCAGAGCGGGAGCGATGACGGAGTAGTTCTGTCTAGCCTGGCCTTGAATGCCATAGAATGCCCTTGGCCAGGCAATTTCTGCTGCGTTGTTTGTCGTCGGCAACATCGCTCAAAGCCGTTACGATCTTGCTCTTCGAATGCCGCGGTGCCAGAGCGGACCGCGAGGGCTTCCAGCGAAGCTGCATGCTTTAGCGAAGAGCTTGTCTGTCAGAGAGCCAGAGCCAAACTGACCTCCACTCCGACCCTGCTATTTTTCTAGCATCGCGTGGAGGCGTGATTTTTTTTTGTCCTTCCGTGTCCTCGGCAGGACCCAGATAGTCCTCTCAGCGGGAATCTTCTTGGTTTCGCCTCCTTGGACGCCTCTTCGCTGATCGGGCCGGTCCAGAAAATCTGCAGAAAGCGAGTGAGTCCCCCAAGGCTAAAGAAGATGTGACGGGTCTTGCAGGTCAGAGCCGGTGTCGCGTTCCTTTCTCTTGGATCTTCGACTCCTTGAGGTTCGATTCCGTCGTCCCAGGTCTCACTTGGGAGTTTCCGAAAATAAGGGGTACCTTATTTTGGGGGTCCTTATAATAAGGATCCTACTATTTAGGGTACTATATTGGGGTCCCCTATTTTCGGAAACCCCCACTTGAGTTTCGCATCGCCAGGCACCTGGTGCCTCCACCTCTCTGGAGATCGAAGCCCGAGTACCTGCCTGGCCATTTCACCTCAAGTGTCGCTTCGTCGTAGTCGTGTCTGCAAGGTCTGGCCGCGGGGAGGTGGAGGTGCAGAGGGGCTGCACGGAAAGCTCGCGCCTTGTCTTCCGCAACGGCCGAAGCTCGTCGTCCACAGCTGTCTGCACTCAGGCCAGTGGCTGCGACTTCAGCACCGGCACTAGCTCCTTCTGCTTTTGACTCGGCAATCGTTTGCAGTGTGCACAGCCTGCGGGAAGTGTTCTTGAACTAAGGCTGCGCTGGCTCAGGAAGTGCAGGACTTTAGGCCGCAACCTCCGCGAAAATCACCATCCGGAGAGAAGCTGTAGATTGAAAGAGTGAAGCTTGAGAGAGGCTAAATCACGAGCTTTCCGTTCAGCTCTCTAAGGAGTCGCTCGCTCAGATTTTGAATACCCTTAATGCCCTGCACCACACTCCCGACTCCCGACACGAGAGGTTCAATATGCGCGCCGCCGCACTTAAGCGAGCGGGGGAGGAGATCGTGACCCTTCGAAGGCTGGGATATTATGTAGGGAGATGTAGGGAGCATCTTAAAGCAAAGCCCGGAGACGCCGGCAACCACCGCCTGACCTTGGCCAATTCTACAGTCACGGCCCACACGGGTGCAGACTGTGGTGCCAGATTTCGTAGTGCGGGACACATGGCCGCTCGACAATCTTCCCACGCCTTTCCGTTGTGGGGAAGAGAGGGCAGAATGTGTACGTACTTGCGTGCTTTCTACTCGAAAGTCAGAAGAGTCAGTCCTGCCGCTTTGGGATTTTCATCCGTGTCGCGACAAGGACAACCAACTTGACTTTATGTCATGTCGCATGGTCTGCCGATGACTGCCGACAAGCGTGAGTATTTAAGGGATTCGAACTGCACAGCGACAATGAGGGTCTGAGGATACCACGACTGCAGCAGAATTAGTGGCAGGCTAGATTCTTTTGAAACATTCAAGCCTTTCATTGATTGCGAAAAGACTGAGGATTGACATGCCGGGAACACACACAAATCGTTTCACACATGGGACTTATGGCCGGATTGTTGCTGAGCGTGATCCTCTGTGCTTGGAGACTCGCCAAGCCGCTTGAATTTCAGGCAGGTGCAGCTGTTGAAGAACGAGAACAGATCTCTTCGGGCACAGGTGGAGGATGAGGAGCGTTCGGAGCATACCTTGTTTCATCTTGTTTCCCACACAGGGCATGAAACAATGCTGTGTTAGCCGTATGAACCTTGCCTTGCAGCTATCAGGAAAAGTTGGCTCCGACCTTACCAGACACGATGCCCACGATCTAGACATGGACATCCATAGCCCGCGCGGCCCGCCAAAGGCACAAGAGGTCCAACAGCGTCCTCCGCCGGAAGGCGAACAAGCAGAGTCGTTTCTTGCTTGGTTTTGGTAGTCCTTACGATTGCAAGGCCTGGAGAAGTTGAGTGCAGCAGTGCAGATCTCAGTATGAGAGTCCTCGCAGTCTTGTTGGCGGAGTAGCAGTTCTTACTTCCCCCTCACAGTGCTGCGGTGCTGGGGTTCTAAAGCTTAGCGGTCCGCGCCTCCCGCCGTGGCGCGATGCGCATTTTCGACTAAAAGTCGCGTTCTTTCATGTTCTTTTGACAGTCCCGATGTCAGTGTTAACCCGGTAGTTCGGGGATCCCAAACTGCACAGGCCCGTCCATAGTTTGGCGTGTGTTTGGTTGCAAATCGTGCTCCCGCCGCAGTCCCCTGCTCACTTTGAGTTTCGAAGTGCTGGAAGTCGTTAACGTCTCAGCCGGGCCACACTATTCGTTCTCGGGGCTCCTTGGTGGAACTTTGTCGAGTTGGAAGTTGTGCTCCTGCCACGATGCCGTACTTCGCCACAGTCACATGCTTTGGGGTTGGATTCATGCTCACGCTACAGTGCGGTACGCATTTTGGAAGTTTTGGAGCTGTGGGTCATGGGAGAAACTTCCCTCCCCGTCGCCCCTCCTCGACCCGATGGCCCGCGTAGTTCGGATCCACTGCATGGTCTTGATGGTGCCACGCGGGGCAAACCGGGCATATTGTGCTAACTCTGTTTGCGTTGCTTTGACTAATGTTTCTGCTGCCTTGCTCTACCCCGCTTTGACATCACGGGCTCGTGGCATTGCAACTGCCTGCCGAGGAGCTGGCTGGAAAGCTCCAGCGGACCTTGGAGAAATATCGGGAGGAGAAGGCGCTGAGAGCAGACTTGCCAGCGGGAAGGGAAGCCTCGCCTCGCGAGCAGCCTCATCGCTGAAGGCGAAGGCTTCCGAGCTGAGCCGACGGATGGAGGAGGCGCTCAAAGAGGCGCCCGGAGAGTGCCTTCCGTTCCTTCGGTGCCCATTCCTGTAGAATCAACTGTTCTGAACTTGCAGGTGAATCGTGCTCGTGGCTTGGAAAGATCGCTGGAAGAGCCGGGTACCGAAAGAGAGAGCGAGTCAGGGAGTCGGCACGTCGTCAGCGCCGCTCCAGGCTGCAGCAGGTGCACCTGGAGCAGAATCGAGAGCTCCAGCGCCTCCAAGACGAGGGTAGGCTCGGGAAGGGTCGATATATATATATATATATATATATATATGTAGGCCTTGAAGGTTCGAATATGTGTTGTCAGAGATGGGCCTAGCACTTCATCTCAACGCACTGTGCTGTGGTGTGCTATCTGAGAGGAAGTTGGACACATATCGTCAAACGGCAAAGACGCAGGAGAAGGTTTTTGTCTAAGTGCTGAGTACTGCACGACGAGGCTTTTATGAACATGTGTCCAAAGTGAGGTCATTTCCAAATTGGAGAAGATCCTTGAGAGCTCCTTGCAGGAGGCGCTTTCAGTTTTGCAGGTTCGTAGACGTTTCTGGAGCAGTAGACCCGTGCTCAGAAGGTGCAGAAAGCGCAAAAGGTGCAGGCGGGACCTTGGGTGGATTCAAGAAGGTTGCGACAGCATGGTTCTCCACCATTTGCTCTGACATGGCTCCTCTCTAGGCCCTAGGCTTAAGACGACCGTGCTCTGGACATAAAGCTACATGTTAGATTTTTAAAAAAGCTCTGGCAAAGCTAAATAAAAGCTAGCCGAGGGGTCTTTGTGGAAAGCCATCAAAGTCAGAAGAAGCAAAGGAAGAGCTATTCCAAAGCTACCAAAAAGCTATTCAAAAGCTACCAAAAAGCAAACTGGAGTTCCGAGTGCAAGATCTGAGTACAAGATGGTGTGCGAAATACAGAGACGGGGATTCGGATGGCACCGCCTCGACACGGTTGGGAAAACATGGCTTGTCTGGGACGATTTTGGGCAGGGCCGTGCGGGTTGGTTGCTGCTGGGTTCCTGGGTCAGTCTTGCGCAAGCCTATATACCTTCTGGCTGCGGCTGTTTTTTAGCTTTCTTGCGGTGGCTTTGCTGGGCCAGATTATTGTGTTTACTTTTTGACAGCTTTTTTGTGGCTTTTGTATAGCTTTTTTGTAGCTACACAATAGCTTTTTGATAGCTTGTTTTTGGCTTTTATTTGGCTTTTATTTAGCTTTTATTTAGCTTTTCTCTAGGGAAAAGCTACATTTCCAGCCCGTGCCTTGTGCCGACAGTGGAGCCGATAAAAAGCTAGAAAAAAGCTAATTTCTGGGGCGAGGAAGGCTACGGGAAAGCCGCAGGAAAGCTACAGGACAAGCTGGCGGTAGCCTGCGGTTCGAAGTGAAAAGCTGAGCAGGGGGCGTGGCGGGAGGTTGGGTTTGTGGGGCGGGTCTGGAGTCCCTGGGGACCGGGGCGGGGGAAAGAGCAGACAAGGGCGGGGAAGCCAGAGCGGGGGGAGGGAGAAAGGGAGAGAGAATGAGAGAGGGAGAGAGGGAGAGATAGCGCAAGTTTGCGAGAGGTTTTCGGGTGGCTTTTTGGCAGCTTTTCAATTATCTAGCTGATCTAAGCTCTCGTGTCGATCCTGCTCCAGCTTTTCTGTAGCTTTGTTGTGGCTCCTCCTCTAGCTTTTCTGTAGCTTTATCGACAGCCCCCCTGTAGCTTTTCTATAGCTTTTTCTAGCTTTTCTGCAGCTTTTCTGTAGCTTTTCGGTAGCTTATTTTTAAACAAATGGTTCCAGGCCTCTCCAGGCACGTGGCCGTCCTAACCCTAGGCGGATGCAGTCCAATCACCTGCTCTGCGTTTGCGTTGGAAGATGGGTCCAACATCTTGCTGTGGGGGCATACTGAATTTAATCTGCAGAAAAGTTGAAAACGTGACAGCACGAGTGCGCACGAAATGCCAAGTTCTCCGGTGCAGATCTTTGCAGCTTGGTGATCATCAACTTTGTGCACATGGCTATTCCTCCATGTGCTGTAAGCACTCAAACCGCGGCCGGACTCAGGCAAGGGTCAGAAAACCACAGCCGCATGCGGATGAGGAACGGAAGAGCTGTCAATGCCAAGAGTGGGTCTTAACTCTGAATGCAAGATCGTGCAAGTAGAATCTCAAGCTTCCAACAGCATCGTGATCTATCGTTCAGCCGTGGTCCTGCCTGCAGCCGGTGCCTAGACGTCCTTTATTCCGGCTGTAAGTTGCTTTTCCCACCTCGCTAGCATATCCTACTGGGTTTCTTCGGCATGTCCTTCCATGCACAACAGGGCTGTTCTGCCCTGGAATTGTCGAGCCATCGGATCATAAAAGTAGGTTTTGCACGTGCCGATATTTCCCTGCCTGTAGCTTAGTTACCAGAAGTAACCGACTTGTCAGCTGTGTCAAACCTCCCACACGGACGGCACCCTTAGATCGGCACCAGCCTGGACTTGGTCGTGGCCGCAAGTGGTCAGAAACCATGCAAAATCTTAAGCGGAAGAAACTGTTTTAATAACAGGTGGACATCGAGCGTTTGAAGACCGAAAACCTGAAGCTCAGCAACTCGGCTGCGACAGCACCTGGGTCCAGATCATAGTTGCATTGCAGGAGTCCGGAGCTAAGCGTGAGCACTTGGCTGGCAGTCATATGGCAGACAGCGCATCTTGTGAGTGCAACTGAGCTCGCAGGGGAGCGCTGTTCAAGCTTGCTCACACGGAAGAAGCAGCTTGCCGGCAAATTTGGGCTCGGACTAGCCAAGGCCGTTGCTGAGAGCCTGTTAGGGTTAAATCATGCGGGATGAAAGCGAGCTTGCAAGCTGTGCGGATTGAAGCTGAGGGAAGTGGGCGACGATGAAGCACAGGTGCTGGCGACCATAAAACAGAAGCGCCTGTAATTGCCGGTTGTGTGCTGCCTCTCAGAGCCGGAAAGGGTTTGCAGTGAGTCAGTTCACCGAGTGAAGCGCCAGAATTGGGAAGAGGAGCTGCGGCAGCGACTTGCGGAGAAGGATGCTGAAATTACCCGCCTGCAAAAAGTTGCCCTGCCCTAAGATTCTGGTCCTGGAAGAAGTCCTTGCTTTAAGAAACAGGAAAGTTAGTCAGCAAGACCACATTGCAGACTTTGGAACAGGCAGCTTCTCTGAAGATGACCAATGTGGAAGTGGGTGAGGACTTGACAATTGCCATAGTCACGTGAATCGAATGTGGATTGGTCCAGAGCCAAGGAGACCGTCCTGCCTTCGTCTTCACCTGGTACTGCGGCCGGAACCCGACTTTTTTCAACATGGATAGTAGCCGCCTTCCATCGCCTTCGCACCTAATCAGAGCATCTGTACCCGTCTGCACCGAGGCCTTGTCGGCTGAAGAGCCGGGTCCTTTCGAGTGGCAGATCCAGGGGGGTTCGGGGTTAGGCCCGAAAATGGCCAGGGATGGTCCTTGGTAAGTTCGCAGTCTCACAGGCTGACCCACTGGACTTTTGAATTTTGCTTCCAGGCAGGAGCAGCTGGCCCACCTGGAAGCGAAGCGCTTTGTACGCAACTCAGGTCACAGTAACCGATGATCATCACAATTTACTGTACAAAAACAGTCGCGGAGCCAAGCTCTGATGTCTTGATCGCGTTCAGGCCAGCTTGTCCGCTTTCGTCTCTGATGCACTGGTAATCTTTGCACCGAACAGGGAGAATCCTCGCGTGGTATCGGCTGATGTCCTTTACGGAGAACCTGAGAAGATGTTACTAGCGTTGTCACGATTGAAGTTGTGATGTCAATGAAGTGCCCTCTTTAGTGACCCACATGCTGTGACTTGTGCAGCGATATGCAGTCAATCTCGGTTATGTCCGTCGTTGTGTTGTTGGATGTTTTCGTGGACGGTGTGTCAGGGAACATAGCAACCGTCGCCTCTGTCTTCCTGACGCTTCACGAATGCACGACGGGTAGACCCATTGCTTTGCAGTTGAGCAGGAGTTGAAGCTAAGCACATCTACTGAGTCGAAAAATCTGACCTGCTGCGGCATGTTGTCGAGGTGGTTCTGTTTGTTGTGTAACACACGTGTGTGTGCAGGAACAAGCTTAAGCGGGCGGCCGAATAGCAACTTCGGCTCGCCCGTCTATCTTTGAGTTTCGCTGTCTTTCCTCACCGCCTCTCTTCGGGTCATGGCTTCGTCTGGACTCACGCCAGTGCCGGAGGCCGCTGCCGCCCCTGCTTCGCCTGTCGGGGCGGACAGCCTTGGGGCCTCGCCTGGCGTGGGTCTCGACGTCGGCCCGACATCGGCGTCTACTACGTCGGCGCCTGGTGGTTTGGATCTTGACAGCCTGGACGGGCTGGAGCCAACGCCGCTTGGGGCGTTCGCCTCGCCGGGCACGTTGCCCGCCGAGGCTCTGGCGCCGGGGGGGGGGCTATGAGTCCGAGGTCGTCGATTTGCTGGGCTTGGACCCCGACGACAGCCCGGCTCCTACCGGCCCGCCCCCCCCGGCGAGCGGCCACGACCAGGGCACTCAAACTCACGAGGCCCATTTCATCCGGTCGTTCGTCGCGGGCCTCTCAGTGCCTCGCCTGGCGGCTGCCATCCGGGCTCTTTCGCCCGAGGACGCCTCCAACCTGCGGGCGGCCATGGCCGAGGCGGAGGCCACACCCGACCAGGACACGGCGACTGGCGACGGGCCGCCCACTTTGTCGACGTCGGCGTCTTCGGCATCCTTGGCGCTGGGGGCGGACCAGCCCACGACGGACCCTGGCCCGTCGGCACCGGAGGCGCGCGCCTTTTGGGAAGGGCGTGACCCGGCCCCAGCCAGGACCTCGCCTCTGCTCGTCGCCGACCCGCCGGGCCCAGAGGCGGGCTGGGACGCACTCACGTCCTACCTGGCCGAGTTCGACGCCGCCGAAGGGGCGCCAGCGGCCTCATCGGCTTTGCCCGTCTTGGCGGCGGCCAAGCCCAAGACGGTGGCTAAGGCCCCTCCGCCACCGTTCCTGGAGCCGGACACTACTTCGCCGCCGGCGCCCATGTCGAGCTCGCCGGCAAAGCCGCCGCCGGTGCCCTTCCCGCACAGGCCGGCGGCCTTCAAAAGCACCGGGCCGCTGAACATGGCGGCGCAACCGCCGCCTGCGCCCGAGGCAGCCAGCAGCTCCACCGCCAAGGCCGTCTTGAAGGCACCACCGGTGCTGGAGCCGGAGGCGCCGGGCGCACGTAACGACGCCTCCTTCGTCTACGGCGTCTATTTTTGGGCCCACGCCGCCGACAACCAGGCCTATTAGGAAGGCCGCCTGCCGGGGTTTAGGAGCAGGAGCAGGTGGATCCACATCGCCAGGAATACCTCCGGCGCCAGGCCTTCATCCGACAGGAGCAGGCCGCGAGAAGCCACGCAAGGCTTCGCCAGCTGCCGATGTGGATATACGACACCGCCCTGGCCTCTCGCATAGAGAGAGAGTTCGCGGAGCAGCGCGCCATGGGCCCTCCGCCAGCCCAACAGCCGGCTGCGGCCGCCGGCCAGGCCACACAGGAGGATAGGGCGTCTGGGCACGGGCGCGAGGAGGCCCATCCAGCGCCTCGCCGGGTCCAGGTGGTGGAGGATACACACCCCCGCCCTGTGCCGGGCCGCCCTACGCCGGCCACAGCCATCGAGTCGCCGTGGCAGGACTATCTCCACGCCGAAGCGGCGGCCCAGAAGGCGGCTTCTTCTTCCTCGGCGGTGCCGCCTCCGCCTAAGGCGTCCTTCCCGGCACTGGAGATGGCCGGCCACGGGCGCCACGGCTTCGGCAGCCGCAACAGGGAGCATCGGACTCACAGGCGGGCGTCTTCCGACCCTCGCCAGGCAGCCTGGGACGAATTTCGGTTCCCGCTGCACGAGCCTGGCGCCTCTATGGCGGCTACGCCCTTGCCGATGACTCTTCGCGGCTGGGCGGCAAACTCTTGGGAGTCGGCGGTCGCCCTGGAGCAGGCAATCGGCGCCGGGGCGGTCTCGCCCCAGCCCCA